GCCTCTCCCTGGCTCATCATGGGAAAAGCCGGGAGAATTAGCCAGGACATTAATTACATTAATGCTGGGAGCAGAGACAGCGCAGAGCCCTGCTGCACTGTGTGTGGGCCTGTGTGCATGTGTGTGGGCGGGCGCCTGTGACTGAGTGTGTGTGCATACGTCTGGGCACACATCTGTGTGTGTGTGTTGTGTCTGCACATGTGTGACTTCACATGTGTGTCTCTGTGTGTGTTTGTTGGTGTGTCTGCACATGAGTGTGTGTGCATGTGGGTCTGTTTTGTTGTTTTGCATATGTGTGTGTATCTGCACGTCTGGCATGTATGTCTGCGTGTGCATCAATGTGTCTGCATGTGTGTCTGTGCTTGCATATATATTTGTGGGTGGGCACTGTGCTGAGGGCAGTGAGATGTTGGGGGCTAGCAAGGACATGGTGGGAGCCGGGGGATGCAGTGACTCCTCTGTAAAGAAAAAACAGGACTATGTAGCACTTTAAAGACGAACAAGATGGTTTATTAGGTGATGAGCTTTCATGGGCCAGACCCACTTCCCCCACGAAAGCTCATCACCTAATAAACCATCTTGTTAGTCTTGAAAGTGCTGCATAGTCCTGCTTTTTGTTTCAGCTACACCAGACTAACACGGCTACATTTCTATCACTATTCCTCTGTAAAGGACACGGCCCTCTGCTTCCCTTCGCATGGACAGGGGCCTGGCCCTGCCACCCTGGGCCTCTGGGTGGGGGCCGGAAACAGGGCCAAATGCCAGGGGATATTTTGGGCTGGGAGATCTGAGGAATCTGCAGAGGAGACTCCATGGGGGTCCAGTTACAGATAGGGTGAGAGGCAGGGGTGTGCGCTCACACATGCACACAGCCACACCCCTGTCACTTTCTCTCACATACACAACCAGACAAAACCAGGCCTGTATCACACACAACCATACACATGCACAGAGCCAGGCCTTTCTGTCTCTCTCACTCAGCCTCTCTCTTATACAGAGCCAGGTCTCTCTCTCTCTGGGTATGTCTACACTACAGCACTAATTCGAACTAACTTTATGCGAGCAAAAGGGGGAGGCTTTCCTGCCAGCCTGGATGGCTGAGGCTGAGCGCATGGCTGGCCACTATGCTCAGCCCCACACAGCCGCCATCCGGGAAGCCCTGCGGGAGAGCTTCCATGTGGAGGAGGAGGACTGAACTCTCCCTGCATGCCCCACTGGGGCCTTCTTCCACCCTCCCCCCCTTCCCCTCCCTAACCCCCCTTTTTAAGTCAAATAAAGACACCTGTTTGCCAACAAAAATCCCTTTTTATTTTACATAACTGGGGTGGGGGGAGGGTAGGAGAGGGGAGAGGAAACCTGGGAGGAGGGAGCTGGAAGGAAAGCTCAGGGTTCGGGGTCTTGCTGGTTCTCCTGACTTGCAGCACTGCGGATGTGGGGGCGTCGGGGGGGAGTGGGTGTGGAGGGTTGGGCAGGAGGGACAGGGGGTGCGGAGGAAGTGGGAGGGGAAGCAGGGGTGGGAGGAGGAGCGAGAGCTGGGGCAGCCGCAGGGGGT